AACATTATCTGAGAGAGACAAACATATCTGAGAGAAACAAACATTATCTGAGAAACAACATTATCTGAGAGAACACATTATCTGAGAGAAACAAACATTATCTGAGAGAAACAAACATTATCTGAGAGAGACAAACATTATCTGAGAGAGACAAACATTATCTGAGAGAAAAAACATTATCTGAGAGAAACAAAACATTATCTGAGAGAACAACATATCTGAGAGACAACATTATCTGGAGAGACAAACATTATCTGAGAGAGACAAACATTATCTGAGAGAAAACAAACATTATCTGAGAGAGACAACATTATCTGAGAGAACAAACTTATCTGAGAGAACAAACATTATCTGAGAGAAACAAACATTATCTGAGAGACAAACATTATCTGAGAGAAACAAACTTCTGAGAGAGACAAACATTATCTGAGAGAACAAACATTATCTGAGAGAAACAAACATTATCTGAGAGGACAAACATTATCTGAGAGAGACAAAACATTATCTGAGAGAGACAAACATTATCTGAGAGAACAAACATTATCTGAGAGAGACAAACATTATCTGAGAGAGACAAACATTATCTGAGAGAAACCAACATTATCTGAGAGAAACAAACATTATCTGAGAGAAACAAACATTATCTGAGAGAAACAAACATTATCTGAGAGAGACAAACATTATCTGAGAGAAACAAACATTATCTGAGAGAAACAAACATTATCTGAGAGAGACAAACATTATCTGAGAGAGACAAATCTGAAACTTGAGAGAAAAAATGAAATTGGGGAAAAGTCCGAAACGTGAGAACAGGAACACTCTTTAACGTTCTCTCCTCTTCAGGTGGATGGGATGGCGGGCATCGAGTACCACGACCTGGAGGCCGCCGAGGCGCTGGTCAGCATGAGCTTTGGGGGTCAAATGTCACACAAGCCCCGCCCCCTGACCCCACTCCGACTCCTGTGACTCCATCCACCTTCAGGGGGGGGGCGAGGGTCCCAAAGACCTGATCGCCCTGTCATCGCTGGTGAGGAAACACTATTTAAAGAGTCTTTCATTCATAGTGATTTAAGCTCTTAAAGAATACTTTAGTTATTTAGCGATTCATTGTTTAACATTTTGAATGTGTGTCTGTTATTAATGCAGGATTTGGTGGGAGAAGAATAAATGAACACCATTTAGTTAAACAATGAGTCAACCCTCCCATGGTCTGCGTTTCTCCCCCCTTACTGACTCGCACATTTACATTCTGGTTTACATGAAGACCAGTGAATGCACACTGAACCTGTTCTCCTAAATTATCCTTTTGTTGTTTGTTGTTCAAATGCCTACTTTATCATGAGGCCTTGAACGCATCACAAGGGTTAAGGGGCTTTCACATCGCGTTCACACCGGAATAAGTCCCTGGGGGAGGATTAGGCAAATTAAGCCGTATACTGCCACCCGGAGGCCCCGGCCGGAAGTCCCCGGAGTTGGTTTGGATCTGGCATATCTCTGTTCCTGCTCAGCTGACTTGAGGCTGGTTGCACCGTATCTGTCACAACAGAAGTGTATGATGTCAGTGCCAGGAGGCACATCATTCAGCAGCAGGTGCCTGTATCGCTCAGCGATCACTCCAAATCCTTCTCCTGTGTGGAAAGACCAGTGTCGTGTGGCGGACATGGCATCTACCACTAATGCTGTCTTGAGGCAGTCTTGGGGCAGATCAGGGATGCTTGCTTACTTTTGGTCTTCTCTTTCAAGATCTTCACAAGGCTCGCCTGTTCTCATACTGCCATCTTCCTGGAAGAGGGGTGGGGGAAGGTCACTGCACTCGTGGTTGCCTATGAAGTCAACCATGTTGAGTTCTCCACCACTGGCAATGATCTGGGTCATGTGCAGCAGGGGCAGTGACTTCATTGCTCTTGCCAGGTGAAGAGGTTTTCCCTCCAGACTTCTTTGCTTTCATCCTGTTGTGTGTGGAAGGTGTTTAGCTTTACAACACTTGTCTTCTTCTGGTCACTGGACAGTGACTCTGACAATGCCTTCAAACCAACTGCTTTCACACTTGTCAGGTTGTTCCTTGACTGTGGCAATCTGCACACTCGCCAGTAGATATATTGATCAGGGATGGTGTGGCTGTCGTGAATGGGTGGTCTCTACTGCTGCCATGACCTTGACTACCGTCTCTTCATCCCTGTTGACACGACTGGAGAATGGAGGTGCAGCGTAGACTTGAGACCCACTTCATCCTGGCAGCACGATTGAGTGTAATGCCATCCAGACCACTTGCCTCCTTGGCATCTGCATTGTATGTCTGCTCCAGGAGAGACACCATTGTGGTTTCCATCTGCTCCTTCCAACAAATGCACCTGCCATCAGTGCGTCGTGCGCCTCAGGGGCTGTCTCTGGCAGGTTCTTCATCTCAGCCAAATACAGAGGCAAAGACTGCTGCCCATATTTGTAGTGTCCTGCTGCAGTGAGGTAAGGTAGCATCTGTGCTGATTCACAGAGATGTCCTGCCCAGTTACCTTCCCGCTGGTAGTAGATGAACCTGGAGGATGTCTGACATCTCCAGAAAGATTGACCTGAAAACTGCAGTTGGGTGCTCATTCAGAGGTTCCTGGAAAAGTAACATCTGTTCTTGTAGGATTGATATCTGTGGACGTGACTTCTGGATGATCTCCAACTTCTCAGTAGCAGTGGTGTCTTTCTCAAACAACATCTTCACAACATGTCCTCCTTGTGACTGCCTGTGTTTCTCTGTCTGCTGCACATGCCTCAAATGCTTGCCAGTACAGGCGCCACATGGCCTCGCTGAGGATCCTGAGAGCATGCAATGGTTTGGTAAAGGGGTTTCATTGTTCGGACCCTCACTGTAGCTTTCCAGTAGCTATTTGACCGGTTGTGATCCTTGAAGGTCCTAGATATCATTTCTGGTGGACAATCTTTCCCCAAAAAATTGGTTTTGCCCCCTGGGTACCATGTAAAGCATCCTTGGGTCCCTTGAAAGGCGCTATACAAATGTATGGAGATGAATGTGTTAAATGTTAAAAACGTATAATATATCTCTTCTGTTTCCTCCCTCAGTGTATGACACCACCTCACAGTCCCAGCTTCCCCTCGGAGACCTCCGTCCCCCTTTCAGAGACCTCAGAGACCTCCGCCTCCCAGGTGGACTCCTGCGTCCTCACCAAGCGGTCATCCGCCACACTGACAGCCTCGCTCCCTCACCCCAGCCTCCACGGAAACCCTTTACCCCAGCCTACACAGAACACTTTACCCCAGCCTCCACAGAACCCTTTACCCCAGCCTACACAGAACCCTTTACCCCAGCCTACACAGAACCCTTTACCCCAGCCTACACAGAACCCTTTACCCCAGCCTACACAGAACCCTTTACCCCAGCCTACACAGAACCCTTTACCCCAGCCTCCACAGAACCCTTTACCCCAGCCTGCACAGAACCCTTTACCCCAGCCTACACAGAACCCTTTACCCCAGCCTGCACAAGAACCCTTTACCCCAGCCTACCAGAACCCTTTACCCCAGCCTACACAGAACCCTTTACCCCAGCCTCACACAGAACCCTTTACCCCAGCCTCACAGAACCCTTTACCCCAGCCTACACAGAAACCCTTACCCCAGCCTACACAGAACCCTTTACCCCAGCCTACACAGAACCCTTACCCCAGCCTACACAGAACCCTTTACCCCAGCCTGCACAGAACCCTTTACCCCATGCCTACACAGAACCCTTTACCCAGCCTACACAGAACCCTTTACCCCAGCCTACACAGAACCTTTACCCCAGCCTACACAGAACCCTTTACCCCAGCCTACACAGAACCCTTACCCCAGCCCTACACAGAACCCTTTACCCCAGCCTGCACAGAACCCTTTACCCCAGCCTGCACAGAACCCTTTACCCCAGCCTGCACAGAACCCTTTACCCCAGCCTGCACAGAACCCTTTACCCCAGCCTGCACGGAACCCTTTACCCCAGCCTGCACAGAAACCCTTTACCCCCTGCACAGAACCTTTTCCCCAGCCTGCACGGAACCCTTTACCCCAGCCTGCACAGAACCCTTTACCCCAGCCCGCACGGAACCCTTTACTCCAGCCTGCACAGACCCCCTCACAGACCCCCTCACAGACCCCCTCACAGACCCCCTCACAGATCCCCTCGCCACCTCTGCTCTGCCAGGTGTTCAGCAGCCGCTCGGGGTTGATCTCCGCCTTCGTGCAGGCGCCCATGCAGGTGTTCGTTGTGCCACAGGCGTCCGCAGCGCCGCACGCCGTCATGACGCTGGGCAACACTAAGCTCCTCCCCCTGGCGCCGGCGCCCGTCTACCTGCCGTCCGGAGCGAGCGGCGGCGTCACGCAGGCAGACTTCTCCCGACGCCGAAACTACGTCTGCAACTTCCCCGGCTGCAAGAAAACCTACTTTAAGAGCTCGCACCTGAAGGCTCACCTGCGCACACACACAGGTGAGGCTCTGCTTTCATTGGTCAGCTCATTTGAAGCCATGGTTGTGTTTCTATACTGTTGGAAAAATCTCACTCATCACAGCTTGAGCTTCAGTCTCAGGATCCATGTATCTGTGATCCTCTCCAGAAGGGAAGGAGTCATCACATACAGAGCATCAACTAGTTCCTGAACAGTGTCCTTCACATGCTGATATCCAAGAGAGGGAGTTACACAGTCACAAGATGGAGGAATAGAAAGCAGTATTCAATGTTTACTTCAGATTAGCTCCACGTCAGAAATGAGCATGCTTGATGTCTCTCTCCATAGAGGCTGAATCATCATGTTAATCACAGAGCTATCATCTGCCTCAAACAGTCCTGATGCTCTTCCAGGTCATCACACATCCTGTCATGTTCACAGCTACAGTTGATACCTTTGTTATCATGCTACTCTCATGTTGGAAGAGGACGTTCAGTGTTTTCACAACACTATAGTAATGAAGGGTTCTGGTTCTGCTGTTCCCCTGCAGGCGAGAAGCCGTTCAGCTGTCACTGGGAAGGCTGCGATAAGAAGTTTGCCCGATCCGACGAGCTGTCGCGACACCGCCGGACGCACACGGGCGAGAAGAAGTTCGTCTGCAGCGTCTGCGAGCGGCGCTTCATGCGCAGCGATCACCTGACCAAACACGCCCGGCGTCACATGACCACAAAGAGGGCTTCGTCGTGGAGCGCCGAGCCCCGGGACCTCAACAGAGGCCCCGCCCCCTCACTTCCTGTCGGCGTGCTGGTGAGCACCGCCAACTAACAGTCAACTCAGGAACCAAACTGTGACTCTCAATCAGCTCCACATCCGGAGGAACTTTTTTTCTACAGATATCTCTGCTGGCCAGAAGCTGAGGGCCGGCTGCGTCTGCGCGAGATTCAGCGTGAAGTAAAATCAAGTCATTATAACTCTTTAGGGTTTATCTTAGAGATCGTCAGGTGAACTAAAGGTAGCTTCCCTTCTTTCCCTCTACCAGCGACCCTCTGAGGCTAAAACGCTCAGTACACTCCACGACACCTAAAATCTGAATGCTAACGTTAGCATGTTAGCATGATAATGTCAAAACATTATAATTTCCTGATTTTTAGCATGTTAACAAGCTCAAAGTTAAATGCTAACATTTATGATGTAACGCTTAGAGTTTTACATGCTATCATGCCAACTTTCATAAGCTGAAATAGGTGCAATTAGCATGCTAACGTTAGGCCGTTAGCATGCTAATGTCAAAACATTTTAATTTCCGGATTTTTAGCATGTTAACGACTCAAAGTTAACATGTGCCGATGCTAACAATTAGTATGTAACGCTAAGCGTTTTACATGGTATTATTCTAACTTTTTAATAAGCGGACATAGGTGCAATTAGCATGCTAACGTTAGCATTAGCGCTGTTCCACTGATTTTAAGATATCTGCAGCCCTTTTAAAAATAAACAGTAACCTTTAATGTTCCACCACAGTTGTTGTGTTTGGAAATCAGACTCAAAGCCCGCAGAAAATATGAGGTTTAAGGTGTTTTAAACGTATATATATTGAGATAAAGATCTAATTAAATCATGCAGACGCAGCCAGCGGACGTCGGATCGAGCTTCCCGACATCCTCAGGACGTTTTATTCCACAAACTCACCGTAAAGGAGGACGAGGCGACAGGCTGCTACTCTCACGGACAGACACCAACAGAAACCTGACATTGCACTGGATTTTTTTAATCTTGCTTGTTTTTGTACTCTCCGTGTATACTCATGTTTACTTCAATGTTTAGCAAAGATGTATGCACTCTTTTTATTTGTTGCCAAAGCCTCTGTATTGTGCTTCTGTTATTATTGTTATTATTGTTATTATTATTATTATTAGCCTACTTCTGTGTCTGTAAATACTGTAAATATATTGATATCTATATGAACGTGACGTGTATTCCAGTCTGCATTTATTGTACGAATTCTGACAGTATTCCTCGCTGTGAGAATACCTACTATCTTTACACGGCCATTATTTAATGAAGCGTTTGTTGAAGAAGAAGTGCTGGTTTCTCCTGATTGGCCCATAGTGTAGCCAGTAAGAAAATACCTCGTTATTAAATGTTATTCTTAATAATAACGGCTTATATCTGAATAATCCCATCTTCTGAACATTTGCCTGTAAGCGATGTTGAAGAATATGGCTTTTATAATAAAAACCTACCATGAAAAATACGTGTTGTTTATTATTTCCCAATACATTACATCCAGTGGTTTCAGGTTATATTAGTGCATGCTAATGGTCTGCAGAGGCTCAAGTCCCTGCTTCCTCCAGAGGGAGCTTCTTAAACATGATATATATAGCATATGTGCTTCTGAACTGACCCCACATGGAACGTGTTGAGATATTTTAGTCTCTAATATATATCAGAAAACTTTAAAGCTGTTTTAACATCTTAGTCTTATTTTAAAGACGTAGGTCAGAGAGAGGAGCTTTACATGATAGGTCTTTATATAAAGCACATGTCCTGTATCTGTATATAGTGTATATATATATATGTATATAGTGTGTATATATATATCTGTATATAGTGTATATAGTGTGTATATATCTTTATATAGTGTATATCTGCTCGACGACAGCAGCGCTGTTACGTGTTTGTTATAAACATAAGAGATACACAGCACCCGGTAACAGCGATCAACCAATCAGGAGCCAGCACTCAGGGGGTGTGACCAATGGGAGAAGGGCGCGTGATTGGCTGGATGAGGAACCCGCCCACTTGCCTTACTGACCGACATTCACAAGAAGCCAAAGAGATGAATTAAAAATATGAACAGCAGAGTAACAGCGACCCCCCGTGGCGGAGCGCAGTGCTGCAGCTTCTTCAACAACATTATACACAACAATACATAATATACCTATTAACACAGGGGGAATATTATTATATATATATATACATAATAGAACAATTAAATTAAATATAATACAGTAAAGCAAAAAAACATCATTTAAAAATGAATGGAAACACAAGACGTTTAAGTACAAATCTGTACTTTGTTTTTCACTTTCCAAAACGATACTGCACATATTGTATTGTATTATTCCAAGTACTGTGCAATAGTATACTGCAAGTAGTTTTTTAGTATATCCAGATTACATGTACATCATTTTCTATATCTGTACGTAAAAAGCTTCAATTGTTTTTCATACTTTTTATACTGTGTTTATGTTTGAACCAAATACACTCAGATCAGGTACTTGAGTAGAAGTAGAAGTACTCAGATATTGTACTTGAGTAAAAGTAAAAGTATTCAGATCATGTATTTGAGTAAAAGTAGAAGTACTTAGATCTTGTACTTGAGTAAAAGTAAAAGTACTCAGGTCTTGTACTTGAGTAAAAGTAGAAGTATTCAGATCATGTATTTGAGTAAAAGTAGAAGTACTCAGATCAGGTACTTGAGTAGAAGTACTCAGATCAGGTACTTGAGTAGAAGTAGAAGTACTCAGATATTGTACTTGAGTAAAAGTAAAAGTATTCAGATCATGTATTTGAGTAAAAGTAGAAGTACTTAGATCTTGTACTTGAGTAAAAGTAAAAGTACTCAGGTCTTGTACTTGAGTAAAAGTAGAAGTATTCAGATCATGTATTTGAGTAAAAGTAGAAGTACTCAGATCAGGTACTTGAGTAGAAGTACTCAGATCAGGTACTTGAGTAGAAGTAGAAGTACTCAGATCAGGTACTTGAGTAGAAGTAGAAGTACTCAGATCTTGTACTTGAGTAAAAGTAGAAGTATTCAGATCATGTATTTGAGTAAAAGTAGAAGTATTCAGATCATGTATTTGAGTAAAAGTAGAAGTACTTAGATCTTGTACTTGAGTAAAAGTAGAAGTACTCAGAGCATGTATTTGAGTAAAAGTAGAAGTACCAGAGTGTAGGAATCCTCTGTCACAGTAAAAGTAGTCGTTGTGCAGATTGGTCCATTTCAGAATAATATATATGATATGTTTTATAATGAGCTCCCCATTGACATCAGGACTGCAGAAAGCTTACACACCTTCCAGACTGAAAACTCATCTGTTTCGACTCCACTTCGAGCGATAGAACTATTAACAAAGCACTTATATACTAATAAAGGGCTGGCTTATCTAAGCCAGTTGAGCAGCACTTGAAATGTTTGGCTCTATGAAACCTGATGTACTTTATGATTCTGTTTTCTTCAAGGTCGTGTCTTCCTGGTCGAATGTACTTATTGTAAGTCGCTTTGGATAAAAGCCTCAGCTAAATGCAATGTGATGTAATGTAATGTAATAATACTTATAATGTGCACAAACCCCCCCTGTGGCCAGGGGGCGTTACTACTGGTTGCCCTACATTTTCAGTCAATCAGAGCGCTGCATTCCGGAAACAGCTGATCAGCACCGCTTGTTTCTGTGAGAGGGAACATTTAAGTTTTATATGTAATTCTTTAGAAAGATAAATAACATCTAAGTTATAACAAACACCAGAATCCAGCCGTTAAAGTAGTTACATGTTGATGATATGAGAAAATAAAGCATTTAAAAACATGTAACTTAACGTTAGGTTTACCTTCTGCCGTTTCAACGCGACTTATCATTTCCTCTTTCACAACATTATACAGAACAATACATATTATACCTATTTACACATGTGGAAGTACTCAGATTGACATGATTTGTTATAGATTAAACCATCCAACGTTATATGTAAGTAACTTAGACCATGGGTGGAACAGAACACTAATTAAAACTAAACTAAGAGGTTTCTTGTTCACAGTTCAGCTTCTGAAATGTAATATTTGCTGCTTTTGGTTTGAATGGAGTATTTTCTCTACAATGAGTACTACACAATACTTGAACATGAGTATTTTAACAGTGTGGTATATTGTGTATAAAGTGTTTGAACAGACTTTTAACCTGGTAGTTTAACTCATATACAGTCGTTTAAATGAAATTAAACCGGTTCATTCATGTTGTGGCAGTCTCAACACGACTTATAACTTCCTGGTAGTATTTAGAACACCGTTTAAAGGTTTTAATGATAAACTAAGACGTGTTTGAGTCTGAATCTGAGATGTTTTGTAACATCGTTTTCACACTGTTTTGTAACCTCGCCCAAACAAAGACGTTGATTTCCCCGCAGCTGGCCTGTAGCACGTGATCTCTCTACTCGCCACCTGATTGGCTCCGTCACAGCGTCAGTTTAAAGAACCAAGCGCGAGCGGCGTTCCTATTGGCCGACTGCGTTCCGGCGCCAATATTCCAATATAAAGAGGGAGCAGACAGCAGCAGGAGCCGCTCAGTCGCTCTCCTGCTTTTAACTTTCACACCGTAATTTATGTCATTTTAAACCCGTCACAATGCTTTCTGCTCGCGCGCCTCTGTCCGCGAAGAAGGAGAACTCTCTCAGCAGTGAGATGAACAAGATGGCGCTGGACAAAGAAAACACGGTAAGAACTAAAAAGCAGCTTTTACCGTTAAAATGACTCTTTGTTCGGGTCGTTAAACAAAGGAGCAGCAGTGTGTACCCACTGCAGCTTTATCTCGTGTGTGTTTCACTCGGATCCGATGAGATAAACGGGTTTAATCAGATTATTGTTTCTCTTTTTCAGCCCCCGAGCCTGAACACCACGCGCATTTTAGCGTCTAAAACCGCGCGGAAAATCTTCTCCGACTCTGAGGTGAGTTCAACCACAGACTGTTAATATCATGTACATATATCTGTGTATGTATATATCTAAACACACATTAAAGTGTAGGATTATTAGTGTTTATGTCGAGGTGGCGCCTAAAGTGTCAGTTCTGGCGCCAAACTGGACGATCAGCTGTTGCTGTTTCAAATCAGCTGACGTCACTTCCTGTCTTTATTACTATGGGGTTACAAGTAGAAGTACTGTATTCAGAATATACTTCAAGTATAAAGTATGATCATCATATATAAATAAAGTAGGGACAGTAAAAATATTCGTTGTGCAGATTGGTCCATTTCAGAATAATATATATGATATGTTTTTATAATGATTGATCATGAAAGTGTTCTCAAAGCTGGTGAAGGTGCAGCTAGTTTGAAGTACTTTGTATACTGCAGGGTAGCTGGTGGATTTACTCCAGGTGGAACTAAAGTCTGATTCAACACTTGGTTAGATTTCACATCATTCATCCACATCTGTGAAGAAACTGAAGGTATAAATACATGTAGTGGAGTAAAAGTACACCATGTACCTCTGAACTGTAGTGGAGTAGAAGTACACAGTAGCAGAACATGGAAATACTCAAGTAGTATTTGACTCTGTATACACAGTGCAGTATCTGTGTACATTGTGAAGTATCTGTACAGTGTAGTATTTGTAGTATCAGCGTCTGACCGCCTGTCTCTCAGCCTAAAGCGATGAAGAAGATGGAGGAAGAGGAGCCGCTGCTGAAGGAGAACCCTCGGCGCTTCGTGGTCTTCCCGATCCAGTACCACGACATCTGGCAGATGTACAAGAAGGCCGAGGCGTCGTTCTGGACCGCGGAGGAGGTACGTCCTGCTCTTCAGAACCTCAAAGCTTTATTAGTCCCTCAGAGGGGAACGTTATGTACTTCCTGTTGCGGTCTGTGTCTGAGAGCAGCTGATCTTAACTTCCTGTCTGCAGGTGGATCTGTCCAAGGACGTGCAGCACTGGGAGGCTCTGAAGGACGACGAGAGGTTCTTCATCTCTCACGTGTTGGCCTTCTTCGCCGCCAGCGACGGCATCGTCAACGAGAACCTGGTGAGAGTTCAGAGACGTTAGAGAACCTGGTGAGGTTTAGAGACGTTAGAGAACCTGGTGAGGTTTAGAGACTTTGGAGAACCTGGTGAGGTTTTAGAGACGTTAGAGAACCTGGTGAGAGTTTAGAGACGTTAGATAACCTGGTGAGGTTTAGAGACGTTAGAGAACCTGGTGAGAGTTCAGAGACTTTAGAGAACCTGGTGAGGCTTCAGAGACTTTAGAGAACCTGGTGAGGTTTAGAGACTTTGGAGAACCTGGTGAGGCTTCAGAGACTTTAGAGAACCTGGTGAGGTTTAGAGACTTTAGAGAACCTGGTGAGGTTTAGAGACTTTAGAGAACCTGGTGAGGTTTAGAGACGTTAGAGAACCTGGTGAGAGTTTAGAGACGTTAGATAACCTGGTGAGGTTTAGAGACGTTAGAGAACCTGGTGAGAGTTCAGAGACTTTAGAGAACCTGGTGAGGTTTAGAGACTTTAGAGAACCTGGTGAGGTTTAGAGACTTTAGAGAACCTGGTGAGGTTTAGAGACGTTAGAGAACCTGGTGAGGTTTAGAGACGTTAGAGAACCTGGTGAGAGTTTAGAGACGTTAGAGAACCTGGTGAGGTTTAGAGACGTTAGAGAACCTGGTGAGGTTTAGAGACGTTAGAGAACCTGGTGAGAGTTTAGAGACGTTAGAGAACCTGGTGAGGTTTAGAGACTTTAGAGAACCTGGTGAGAGTTCAGAGACTTTAGAGAACCTGGTGAGAGTTCAGAGACTTTAGAGAACCTGGTGAGGTTTAGAGACTTTAGAGAACCTGGTGAGAGTTCAGAGACTTTAGAGAACCTGGTGAGAGTTCAGAGACTTTGGAGAACCTGGTGAGGTTTAGAGACTTTAGAGAACCTGGTGAGAGTTCAGAGACTTTGGAGAACCTGGTGAGGTTTAGAGACGTTAGAGAACCTGGTGAGAGTTTAGAGACGTTAGAGAACCTGGTGAGGTTTAGAGACGTTAGAGAACCTGGTGAGGTTTAGAGACGTTAGAGAACCTGGTGAGAGTTCAGAGACTTTAGAGAACCTGGTGAGGTTTAGAGACGTTAGAGAACCTGGTGAGAGTTCAGAGACTTTAGAGAACCTGGTGAGGTTTAGAGACTTTAGAGAACCTGGTGAGGTTCAGAGACTTTAGAGAACCTGGTGAGGTTCAGAGACGTTAGAGAACCTGGTGAGAGTTCAGAGACTTTGGAGAACCTGGTGAGGTTTAGAGACTTTAGAGAACCTGGTGAGAGTTTAGAGACTTTAGAGAACCTGGTGAGGTTTAGAGACTTTAGAGAACCTGGTGAGAGTTTAGAGACGTTAGAGAACCTGGTGAGGTTTAGAGACTTTAGAGAACCTGGTGAGGTTCAGAGACGTTAGAGAACCTGGTGAGAGTTCAGAGACTTTAGAGAACCTGGTGAGAGTTCAGAGACTTTAGAGAACCTGGTGAGGTTCAGAGACTTTAGAGAACCTGGTGAGGTTCAGAGACGTTAGAGAACCTGGTGAGGTTCAGAGACTTTAGAGAACCTGGTGAGAGTTCAGAGACTTTAGAGAACCTGGTGAGGTTCAGAGACGTTAGAGAACCTGGTGAGGTTCAGAGACGTTAGAGAACCTGGTGAGAGTTCAGAGACTTTAGAGAACCTGGTGAGGTTCAGAGACTTTAGAGAACCTGGTGAGGTTCAGAGACTTTAGAGAACCTGGTGAGGTTCAGAGACGTTAGAGAACCTGGTGAGGTTCAGAGACTTTAGAGAACCTGGTGAGAGTTCAGAGACTTTGGAGAACCTGGTGAGGTTCAGAGACTTTAGAGAACCTGGTGAGGTTCAGAGACTTTAGAGAACCTGGTGAGGTTCAGAGACGTTAGAGAACCTGGTGAGGTTCAGAGACTTTGGAGAACCTGGTGAGAGTTCAGAGACGTTAGAGAACCTGGTGAGAGTTCAGAGACTTTGGAGAACCTGGTGAGGTTTAGAGACGTTAGAGAACCTGGTGAGAGTTCAGAGACGTTAGAGAACCTGGTGAGGTTCAGAGACGTTAGAGAACCTGGTGAGAGTTTCAGAGACGTTAGAGAACCTGGTGAGGTTTAGAGACGTTAGAGAACCTGGTGAGAGTTTAGAGACGTTAGAGAACCTGGTGAGAGTTCAGAGACGTTAGAGAACCTGGTGAGGTTCAGAGACGTTAGAGAACCTGGTGAGAGTTCAGAGACGTTAGAGAACCTGGTGAGGTTTAGAGACGTTAGAGAACCTGGTGAGAGTTCAGAGACTTTAGAGAACCTGGTGAGAGTTCAGAGACGTTAGAGAACCTGGTGAGGTTCAGAGACTTTAGAGAACCTGGTGAGGTTCAGAGACGTTAGAGAACCTGGTGAGGTTCAGAGACTTTGGAGAACCTGGTGAGGTTTAGAGACGTTAGAGAACCTGGTGAGAGTTCAGAGACGTTAGAGAACCTGGTGAGAGTTCAGAGACTTTAGAGAACCTGGTGAGAGTTCAGAGACTTTGGAGAACCTGGTGAGGTTTAGAGCGTTAGAGAACCTGGTTGGAACCTGGTGAGTCAGAGACGTTAGAGAACCTGGTGAGAGTTCAGAGACGTTAGAGAACCTGGTGAGAGTTCAGAGACTTTAGAGAACCTGGTGAGAGTTCAGAGACTTTGTTAAGCCTGAGAGCCCCCGGTAGAGGGGGTTGCGGGGTTTTTTTCCTCACGAAACTGTCTCAGGGCTTCTTAATATTTAAAAACCTATTAATGTGTCATACCAGGTTAACGGGAAGAAACTCGGCTAACTGACAGTATGAACCATTTTTACCAAAACACAAGTCTCATAAGAAGCTGAGATTCTATAGGTATTAGTATCATGACGGAGCGATCAGAACTCGCGTCACAACATCTCTTACCTCGGCTGTTGGTTTCTGATCTAAAGTCGTGTTCAATGGCATAAAAACGCGGCTGAAGGTTAATCCAATGTGTCTTTCACTTTGAAACAATTATTGATAATCCATAATTAGGAACTTCCCCTCGATCCTATTGGCTCTAACGGTTAAAACGAGGTGTCAATCATCCAAATCGACGAGGGGGGCCAGAGAAATGGAAAACGACCCCAGAAGTGTGTTTTTTCTTCTAAACCTCTCTAAAAAGGTCAATCTTGATACAGAGTACTTATTATTATCCTTTGGATTCCTAAAGCTTTTAGTCTCCGATCATTCAAGGATGGTTTTCACTGGAACTTCTTTTTTTTAACCGGAAACTATAATTATAATTTACATCAATCTGAACATTAAAATAAAAACATCTATATTGATTCTGACTCTTCTCCATCCAACTCACAGGTTTATCATTGCTTTGAGAACAAAGATTATTCATGTCAAAGCTTTTTAGAAGTTATGCTCATTTGTTCTGGGAATGTCCTTTTCGAGCCTGAGACCTGAAAAACAGGCTCAACAGGTCAAAGGAAACTCTGCTGATTGGCTGTGATGCTCTCTCTGCTGATTGGCTGTGACTAACTTGCTGTTCCTCGTGTCTCCACCAGGTGGAGCGCTTCTCACAGGAGGTGCAGGTGACGGAGGCCAGGTGTTTCTATGGTTTCCAGATCGCCATGGAGAACATCCACTCAGAGATGTACAGCCTCCTGATCAACACCTACATCAAGGAGCCCGCTGAGAGGTGAGTCACACGGTCTGATGGTGTGTTCAATGACCCTGACAGTAATCAGTATCTGGAGACTTATTGTTCTCGTCCCCTCAGAGAGTTCCTGTTTAACGCCGTGGAGACGCTGCCCTGCGTGAAGAAGAAGGCCGACTGGGCCATCAACTGGATCGGGAACAAGAGCGCCAACTACGGTGAGAGGGGGGTCCGGGGTCCATGTTTACATCCTTTAGTCAATATCCGACAGGAAGTGCTGCTGAGTCAGTGATTGAGTCTGTGATGATGAGCCGCGCAGGGGTACGGACCTCAGCCAATGATGGGGGCTGACTGCTGCTGCGCTCTGATTGGAGGACGAGTGGTCAGCTGACAGAGCGGCAATAGCAGGAAACAGACGCCGCGCTGAACAGACAGTGAACGCACCGTGTTGAGTTCAAGTGACAGAAAATTAGATGCAACAGGGTCAGAGTTAAACACATAATACACATTTATATAACAGAGTAACTATTGAAGCTAGATCTCACTGGTTCTAACTGTGGCTCTGGTTCTAACTGGCTCTGGTTCTAACTGTGGCTCTGGTCCTAACTGTGGCTCTGGTCCTAACTGTGGCTCTAGTCCTAACTGTGGCTCTAGTCCTCATGGTTCCTCTGGTTCTAACTGTGGCTCTGGTTCTAACTGTGGCTCTGGTCCTCATGGTTCTAGTCCTCATGGTTCCTCTGGTTCTAACTGTGGCTCTGGTCCTCATGGTTCCTCTGGTCCTCATGGTTCTAGTCCTCATGATTCCTCTGGTTCTAACTGTGGCTCTGGTCCTCATGGTTCCTCTGGTTCTAACTGTGGCTCTGGTTCTAACTGTGGCTCTGGTCCTCATGGTTCCTCTGGTTCTAACTGTGGCTCTGGTCCTAACTGTGGCTCTGGTCCTCATGGTTCCTCTGGTCCTCATGGTTCCTCTGGTTCTAACTGTGGCTCTGGTTCTAACTGTGGCTCTGGTCCTCATGGTTCCTCTGGTTCTAACTGTGGCTCTGGTCCTAACTGTGGCTCTGGTCCTCATGGTTCCTCTGGTTCTAACTGTGGCTCTGGTTCTAACTGTGGCTCTGGTCCTCATGGTTCCTCTGGTTCTAACTGTGGCTCTGGTCCTCATGGTTCCTCTGGTTCTAACTGTGGCTCTGGTCCTCATGGTTCCTCTGGTTCTAACTGTGGCTCTGGTCCTCATGGTTCCTCTGGTCCTCATGGTTCCTCTGGTCCTCATGATTCTAGTCCTCATGGTTCCTCTGGTCCTAACTGTGGCTCTGGTCCTCATGGTTCCTCTGGTCCTCATGATTCTAGTCCTCATGGTTCCTCTGGTTCTAACTGTGGCTCTGGTCCTCATGGTTCCTCTGGTCCTCATGATTCTAGTCCTCATGGTTCCTCTGGTCCTAACTGTGGCTCTGGTCCTGATGGTTCCTCTGGTCCTCATGGTTCCTCTGGTCCTCATGATTCTAGTCCTCATGGTTCCTCTGGTTCTAACTGTGGTTCTGGTCCTCATGGTTCCTCTGGTCCTCATGGTTCCTCTGGTTCTAACTGTGGCTCTGGTCCTCATGATTCTAGTCCTCATGGTTCCTCTGGTTCTAACTGTGGTTCTGGTCCTCATGGTTCCTCTGGTCCTCATGATTCTAGTCCTCATGGTTCCTCTGGTTCTAACTGTGGTTCTGGTCCTCATGGTTCCTCTGGTCCTCATGATTCTAGTCCTCATGGTTCCTCTGGTTCTAACTGTGGTTCTGGTCCTCAGGAGAGCGCGTGGTGGCCTTCGCGGCCGTGGAGGGGATCTTCTTCTCCGGGTCCTTTGCTGCCATCTTCTGGCTGAAGAAGAGAGGCCTGATGCCCGGACTCACCTTCTCCAACGAGCTCATCAGCAGAGACGAGGTACCACATCATCATCATTAATATTAATATTAATGTAGGGTCTCGGGATAAAATAATGAAATGATAGGATCCTCTCAATGTGGTGCGTTCAGGGTCTTCACTGTGACTTTGCCTGTCTGATGTTCACTCTGTGGTGCGTTCAGGGTCTTCACTGTGACTTTGCCTGTCTGATGTTCACTCTGTGGTGCGTTCAGGGTCTTCACTGTGACTTTGCCTGTCTGATGTTCACTCTGTGGTGCGTTCAGGGTCTCTTCACTGTGACTTTGCCTGTCTGATGTTCATTCTGTGGTGCGTTCAGGGTCTTCACTGTGACTTTGCCTGTCTGATGTTCACTCTGTGGTGCGTTCAGGGTCTTCACTGTGACTTTGCCTGTCTGATGTTCATTCTGTGGTGCGTTCAGGGTCTTCACTGTGACTTTGCCTGTCTGATGTTCATTCTGTGGTGCGTTCAGGGTCTTCACTGTGACTTTGCCTGTCTGATGTTCAAACACCTGGTGAACAAACCGTCTGAAGTGACCGTCAGTGACATCATCAGGGACGCCGTGGCCATCGAGCAGGTAAGCCCCGCCCTGCCCGCCCCCCCCCCCCTCTCTCTGCTTCCTGTCCGTCAGCTAACTCCTCCCCCTCTCTCAGGAGTTCCTGACGGAGTCTCTGCCCGTCAAACTGATCGGGATGAACTGCGATCTGATGAAGCAATACATCGAGTTCGTGGCTGACCGCCTGATGCTGGAGCTGGGCTTCTCCAAGGTACTAATACACACATTTATATATACTAATACACACATTTATATATACTAATAATACACATATTTATATATACACATTTATATATACTAATACACATATTTATATATACTAATACACATATTTATATATACTAATACACAACTTTATATATACTAATAATACACATATTTATATATACTAATACACAACTTTATATATACTAATAATACACATATTTATTAGGGCCGGGACTCGATTAAAAAAATTAATCTAATTAATTAGAGGCTTTGTAATTAATTAATCGAAATTAATCGCATTTTTAATCACATATAAATATTTGACCTAAGAACAGTGAGAAGCAATTTTTTTCACATGGATTTTAGTATACCATTAGGCGCATTCACACCGCAGTACTTTTCCCACAAAGGTTCATGAGAATTTAGTTCATGAGAACTCTTTGAACCTGGGGGAGGATTAGGCAAATGAAGCCGCTGACGTCACTTCTTCTTCTTCTGCTTTGGGTTTACTGGCAGGCCGCAAACCACTTCACGACGTATACTGCCGCCCAAAGTCCCCGGCCGGAAGTCCCCGGAGTTGGGGAAGGCTTCAGTAGAAGCTGCTGGGACTCCCAGCAGCTTCTACTGAAGCCTTCCGAGTAAATCGCCAGAACGCCGACACCCTCCTCATCTCCACCGCTCCCATGTTTTATTTTGTGTTGCCATAAGTTAGTCTCTCTGCATTTCTGCGCTGGGCTAATAATGCTAATGCGAGGATAATAAAATGGCGGCTTCACAAAACTTTTTGGGAGTTTTACGGGGCGTGGTTTGCAATCCGCCCAGCCAATCAGAAATATAGCTCTTTTCTCACAAGAGAGCCGCACGAAAGTCCCTGCTCTCTAGCAGCTCTCTGCTCTCTAGCAGGGACTTTCGTGGGGGTAAAAAGGTTCTCATGAACTAATTTTAGTACCGGCTCTTTTTGGTGTGAACGCGATAAAAGAGGCTAACGTCCACGCTAGCTTCTACGCTAGCTGCTATATGTTTTGCATTGAGGTGATACTTGAGGCTTGATGTGCTGCGGTGATATGCGAATTCCTTTTTGCATAATTTGCACACAACCGTGCTCTTATCGACGCTTCCATCCGTCCGTTTTTAAAAACATTTCCCACTGTTGTTCACTGTGGTTTGTTGTTGTCTGAAGTCATGAACGTTAGTTGGTGCTCCAGTATAATCGGTACGCCTGAAACTCATCCAGTGAGAAACGTTCCGCGGTGCAAAAATAAGTGCGATTTAAAATGCGTTAATTTTTTTAACGCGTTAATTGTTGTGTAATTAATTAATCTTAATTAACGCGTTAAAGTCCCGGCCCTAATATTTATATATACTAATGATACACATATTTATATATACTAATAATACACATATTTATATATACACATTTATATATACTAATAATACACATATTTATATATACTAATACACATATTTATATATACACATATTTATATATACTAATACACATATTTATATATACACATTTATATATACTAATAAACATATTTATATATACTAATAATACACATATTTATATATACACATTTATATATACTAATAATACACATATTTATATATACACATTTATATATACTAATACACATATTTATATATACTAATACACAACTTTATATATACTAATAATCCACATATTTATATATACTAATAATACACATATTTATATATACTAATACACATATTTATATATACTAATAATACACATATTTATATATACTAATAATACACATATTTATATATACTAATAATACACATATTTATATATACTAATAATACACATATTTATATATACTAATAATACACATATTTATATATACTAATAATACACATTTATATATACTAATGATACACATATTTATATATACTAATGATACACATATTTATATATACTAATACACAACTTTATATATACTAATAATACACATATTTATATATACTAATAATACACATATTTATATATACTAATACACAACTTTATATATACTAATAATACACATATTTATATATACTAATGATACACATATTTATATATACATATTTATATATACTAATACACAACTTTATATATACTAATAATACACATATTTATATATACTAATGATACACATATTTATATATACTAATGATACACATATTTATATATACTAATGATACACATATTTATATATACTAATGATACACATATTTATATATACTAATAATACACATATTTATATATACTAATGATACACATATTTATATATACTAATGATACACATATTTATATATACTAATACACAACTTTATATATACTAATAATACACATATTTATATATACTAATGATACACATATTTATATATACTAATAATACACATATTTATATATACTATACAACAACTTATATATACTAATAATACACATATTTATATATACTAATAATACACATATTTATATATACACATATTTATATATACACATATTTATATATACACATATTTATATATACACATTTATATATACTAATACACATATTTATATATACACATTTATATATACTAATACACATATTTATATATACTAATAATACACATATTTATATATACACATATTTATATATACTAATAATACACATATTTATATATACACATTTATATATACTAATAATACACATATTTATATATACTAATAATACACATATTTATATATACACATTTATATATACTAATACACATATTTATATATACTAATAATACACATATTTATATATACACATTTATATATACTAATAATACACATATTTATATACACACATTTATATATACTAATAATACACATGTTTATATATACACATTTATATATACTAATACACATATTTATATATACTAATACACAACTTTATATATACTAATAATACACATATTTATATATACACATTTATATATACTAATACACATATTTATATATACTAATAATACACATATTTATATATACACATTTATATATACTAATAATACACATATTTATATATACACATTTATATATACTAATAATACACATATTTATATATACAGATTTATATATACTAATACACTTTTATATATACTAATACACAATTTTATATATACTAATAATACACATATTTATATATACTAATAATACACATATTTATATACACACATTTATATATACTAATACGCATATTTATATACACACATTTATATATACTAATACACATATTTATATATACAGATTTATATATACTAATAATACACATATTTATATATACTAATACACAACTTTATATATACTAATAATACACATATTTATATACACACATTTATATATACTAATACACATATTTATATATACTAATAATATTTATATATACTAATAATACACATATTTATATATACTAATAATACAGATATTTATATATACTAATAATACACATATTTATATATACTAATACACAACTTATATATACTAATAATACACATATTTATATATACTAATAATACACATATTTATATATACTAATACACAACTTTATATATACTAATGATACACATATTTATATACACACATTTATATATACTAATACACATATTTATATATACTAATAATACAGATATTTATATATACACATTTATATATACTAATACACATATTTATATATACTAATAATACACACATTTATATATACTAATACACAACTTTATATATACTAATAATACACAACTTTATATATACTAATAATACACATATTTATATATACTAATAATACACACATTTATATATACTAATACACATATTTATTAGGGCCGGGACTCGATTAAAAAAATTAATCTAATTAATTAGAGGCTTTGTAATTAATTAATCGAAATTAATCGCATTTTTAATCGCATATAAATATTTGACCTAAGAACAGTGAGAAGCAATTTTTTTCACATGGATTTTAGTATACCATTAGGCGCATTCACACCGCAGTACTTTTCCCACAAAGGTTCATGAGAACTCTTTGAACCTGAGGGAGGATTAGGCAAATGAAGCCGCTGACGTCACTTCTTCTTCTTCTGCTTTGGGTTTACTGGCAGGCCGCAAACCACTTCACGGCGTATACTGCCGCCCAAAGTCCCCGGCCGGAAGTCCCCGGAGTTGGGGACTGGCTTCAGTAGAAGCTGCTGGGAGTCCCAGCAGCCTTCCGAGTAAATCGCCAGAACGCCGACACCTCCTCATCTCCACCGCTCCCATGTTTTATTTTGTGTTGCCATAAGTTAGTCTCTCTGCGTTTCTGCGCTGGGCTAATGCTGATAATGCTAATGCGAGGATAATAAAATGGCGGCTTCACCAAACTTTTTGGGAGTTTTACGGGGCGTGGTTTGCAATCCGCCCAGCCAATCAGAAATATAGCTATTTTCTCACAAGAGAGCCGTACGAAAGTCCCTGCTCTCTAGCAGGGACTTTCGTGGGGGTAAAAAGGTTCTCATGAACTAATTTTAGTACCGGCACTTTTTGGTGTGAACGCGATAAAAGAGGCTAACGTCCACGCTAGCTGCTATATGTTTTGCATTGAGGTGATACTTGAGGCTTGATGTGCTGCGGTGATATGCGAATTCCTTTTTGCATAATTTG